AAGGTAGCGGGAGGGGAAGAATGAAGCGGGGGAAATCGGAGGGGTAGACGAACCATGAGAGACGATGGACTCTGAAAAACAAACAGGGTTCTAGAGGGGAGGGGCCTGGGAGGATGGGTTAGCCTGGTGGTGGGTATTGAGGAGGGCACGTTCTGCATGGAGCACTGGGTGTTATGCACAAACCATGAATCAGGGAACACTTCATCTAAAACTAATGATGTAATGTATGGGGATTAACATAACAATAAAAATTTAAGAAAAGACATATATGTAATTTATAAATGATAGTATATAACACATTAATATATAAACTATAATAATATATGATAATGTAATATTATAGATGATACCATATAACATAAATAAGACATGTGTATGTAATTTAAACAGACATATCTATCACATATATGTTTCTTAGAAATTCCTAGAAATCTTAGAAATTCACTGTTGGCAGAAAAAATACAGAAGGCCAGACAGTGTGCTGTCAATGAATAAGACTCAAAAGTAAACATACGTATGTCTTATTTATAATATAATATCATATATGATATGTTATGTATGATAATGTATAGAATTCAGATAAGACATGTTTATGTAAGACACAGAGACAGATTTATATTACATGTGTCACATATAACTACATATACTATATAAAATATATTTTACATATTTCATATATGTACATATATGTGTGTACATCTTATATGTAATATATACCTGTGTATAAATTACATGTATCTATGCACACAAACATATGTGTATATGTCTTAGTTATATACTGGTCAATAGGATGCAACAGTCCATTAAAAGAATTATTCACCACGACCAAGTGGGATTTATTCCCGGGCTGCATGGTTGGTTCATCATCCACAAATCAATCAACGTGATACACATTGATTAACAAAAGAAAGGACACATTAACAAAAGAAAGGAAAGAACAATATGATCCTCTCAACTGATGCAGAAAAAGCATTTGACCAAATACAGCATCCTTTCTTGATCAAAGATGGTCAGAGAAGACTTCCTTATTCATGGGAGGTCCAGTCTTTTGTGTTACTCAGGCCTTCAACTGATTGGACGAGGCCCACCCACGCTGGGGTAGGCCATTCTGCTTTAGCGAGTCTACCCATTCGAACGCTAATGTCACCCAGAAACGCTGTCACAGAAACACCCAGAATCACGGTGTTAACAAATAGCTCGGCACCCCGTGGCCCAGTCACGTAGACAGACAAAATTCACCATCATAATGTCTACATATATATGTGTGTGTGTGTGTGTGTGTGTGCGTGCACAAATGTGTGCATACATACACCTGCATCTTGCAATGCCTTAAGTGTCGAGCTGGCCTCGTTTGCTGGATGGTGTGCACTGTAATCCTATTCCACAGTCATCCTGCAACGGCATTTGTTCTATCCAAATGCAAATTCAGCAAAGGATCAGAAACAGTAAAATAGAGACAGACAGACATGACACAGCCAGACATCAAGAACGGAGAGCCACGGTGTCACCTAAAAATGCCGGTAACTGCAGAGAGCTTGCGAGTCCGCTGTGCTCATCACTGGGGAAAAGATGCCCGCCTGGCCGCCCTGTTGTGGCCACGGCGTTTGGTGGGGCTCAGCCTTGCAGCCGTGAGCTCAGCGGGATGTTTTTCCTCCCTTAACATCCGTCTCCTGACAATCTGTGTCCCCCTGTCCATGTATAGAGCGCAGGGCGGACTGAAACCCAGCTCCATTTTACACAAAGAGAACAGCCCCTCCACGAAAACAAATTATACCCTTTAAAACACCTTTCTGCTGTGTCGAGCCAAAACTGCCCACTTTTGTAACTCGGCGGCACCTGCTAGACATGGCGAAGGATGTATTCTCCAAGTTCCCAAAGCACCTGCTGCACAAAGTACACTTCTTTTGACTTTGGAAGGCTGACAGCTTCTAAGTGGGTTTGAAATCCTAGAAACAAGCAGCTCTCCAGTATGAGCAGAGGAAAGAAGAAATAGGGATCACAGTCAATTAAGACAGAATGCACATGTTTCCAAGAGTCTTGTGTGTGTGTGTGTGTGTGTGGATTAGTTGCGGTTTGTATTCATCGTATGTAGATCCCGCCTGGTTATCAACTCAAGATGACTAAACTTACATTCATTAGTAAATTTATAATTTGGTTCAACATATAGAAGAATG